GATCCGAAATGAGAAGCGATTATGGCGGATGAAGAAGTTCACATTCAGTGCGTTTCGAAACTAGTTACCATGGCCTGGGAATCCCCTGCTAGTAGTTTCTTTTCCGGCGAAGCGGAACCGACTTTTCAATTTAAAATTTATTGCTTGTCAGATAGTACGTATTTGAATCTCAACAGTTCGAGGTTTGGAGATGACAGTAATACGTAGAAAATGGACATTGAACTAATAAGTTGCAAATCAGGAGAACGTGGAGTTCAGTTAATTGGTTAAGTGAATGAAAGTTTCGCAGGATTTTAGTGAAAAGTGGCACAAGTGATCGGCAGAGCAGCTCTATCAGATCCTGGAACGTGTCTTTTCTACAAGCGTTGCCTTCGTCTTGCCTCTGATTAAAGCTTAATGCAGATAACTCTAGGCAATGTAGTCTTTGAGAATCCCGTAATCGAAAGTCTGTATGTCAGAACATAAGTCTCTCGCAATAGTTGTCGCGATAATTTGGTACGCCAAGCCTGTTGCTTTCGTAGGCAACCGCAAGCAGCGACACAGGGCCTTCAAAACAGGGCAGAAAGAAAGAAAGTTGGAATTACTTTAACGGATTCAGCATATCCTTTGCACAAGGCTACACACCCCCAATTGCAGTCTAATTCCAGAAGATCCCAATATTTCTGCGTTTATATGAGGAATAAAGCAAACAAAAATCTGTGATCCCGCAGAAGGCTATGACTCTGCAGAACGCGGAATCAGAAAAGCAGAATCTACTCAAATCGATTCATTCATGTTTACCTATTCATGTAGATATTCATCTGCATTATCTTTCTATTGATTAAACCGTTTTCACTTCATCACCCTTTATTTCTTGTCTCATTATTGTGCATTTTTTGGTTCATGTGCATTATACGTGATCCGTTTTAAAAATTGGTGAGCGATGGTGATGAGTGGTGATGATTAAAGTATTGGTTCTACATGCTATTTAAACAATAAGTTAATAACATTAATAACATAATTTAATTTCTTGCCATAAACCAGAAGTGCCTTTTTAGCAGGAGTTGTGGCAAGCATAGCTTGTAATCTCCTGTTTCCCTTCCCTTCACTTTCACTCCTTTAAGAGTTGTACTCACTTATCAACCTCAGTAGGAAGAAGTGCGAGTGACCCAGACGAGGGTTGAACTATTGGTTCTGAGTTTGACATCTCATCGACCGAGGAACTCCAGTCTGAAGCAATGAATGGCAAATTCTGCACTCATGGAAATTCGAAAACAAGACAGAGTTTGCCCTCGAGAGTAACTGAGCCCCACACCTCTGGAATTCGAAGTAAACCCTGTGCCGAAACATCGTCCATACTGCGTCATGCGAAACATGTTGCGTGTTTCTCTGTGTGAATACGGCCGACTGAAGTTGGACCTCCAAGCCGCTGATCGAAATGGAACGAAAGAATACAGGAGCCGTACGTTGCACTGCAATGGCAACATAAGGCAGCAAAAAAGTCTTCATCGAAACTCACTTGGTGCTCTCATTTGGCGCAATCGTCTGATATATAATGATACCGATAGATGTTTGAACGATTCGTTGTTCAAAGTACCAAGAGGTGGTACAACAATTTATTTTTGACGCGTTTCGCCACGTAGACTGTAGCATCATCATGGCTAAGCTAAGTACAATTGACTGCTTGAAGGCAGATGTCCAACAAGCGGACAATTCTTTACAATCAAAACGTTGCTAGATTTAACGGCCAGAATGCTAACCAAAAAATAGTGTGAAGTACTCATTAAAACCATCGGACTAATTTTGCAATCGTCTCTCAGCTTTCACTGATAACAACAGAAGATGTGTATTCATTGCACATCCGAATTTCATTGAATAAACACGAATGTCACGATGAAAAATGGCCGAATATGCTTTACTGCCGAAATGGAATTTAACCACTCTATATCCTTTCTGGACGTAAATGTGAAGAGTACGCCATCGTTTGAATTTAAGATTTCCGCATATCGGAA